AACCACAAAAAAACCCAACTATCTTCCCAAACACAAAAAAAAATTTCTCCAATAATATCCTACAACTAAAAAAACCTACATAAAAACCCACTTCCCAAACACCCAATATGCACACATATGAATAGACATATCAACAATAACATAGCAATCACAGAATTTAAGATAATTCTACATGATTATACCCATATACTCGCACAAAGATGACTATGTTTGGTAAAGATATGGTGACAGAAAATTATAATCCTTCAGTCCAATCTACCATTGAAAATTAGAACATTAGTGTCATATCATATCTTCCCAGAGCAACACTGGGGGAAATTACACACCAGAATCCCTCTGTGCTAGCAAAATAGACTGCAAACTACTGGGAGTCAAGCAATCCAACCAGTCCCAATGCATGCATGACGTCGAACGAGAGTCACCCCTTCAGCCAGATAAATTGGGAAAGCATTGACAGCATGTCCTCACAGCAAAAAAGACTGAATCCCAAACATAATGAAATCATCAAAATTACTGTTGTTGAGCCTGTCGAGTTGGGGCACCACCATACCCACCACCATATCCACCTTGCCCACCATGAGGACCATTTGCCTGAGCCCCATAGCTTCCAGAAGTCTGAGAGGGATCGGGCCTCCAGCCTTGATTTCCGTACCCTGAATTCCCATTGGCATCACCATAGCTAACACACTGTCATCAATCCATTGACGGATAACACCAATGGCTTTTCGATTAAGCCTATTCCATTCATCATCTTTCATACCCTCGGGTTTGCCAGAATCACCCTCAATGGGTCCATATAAATCTTTACAAAATAATAGGTCCTCCATTTTAGTTTTCCAAGTTACCCAATTGCTTCCATTGAAGCTAGACATACGACCCACATTCCCCTCCATTGATTTACACAAATAAATAAACCCAAATAAACCGTAAGCTCTGATACCAGTTGTTAGGGAAAATATGTGATTCCTCACAAGTAAATCAATCAATGGGAATAAAAACTAATGTGGAAAAATTAAATCAAAGGCAACACAAGAATTTTTACGTGGTTCCCTCAATGTGAGGTACGTCCACGGGATCGAAATCTGATTTCACTATCAACCAAATAGTTTCCAAACGATTACAAACGAGACACGAATGGTCTTACAAACCACCCTTAGGTGAATTCCAAATAATTACAAATAAACAAAGAGGAAAGACCTCACCAAATAGAAGAACCAAAATCTTCGAAATTAGAATTGGAGAAGACCCAAAATAACTAACCCAAATCAACTTCACCAAAGCTACTGAAATACACCACAAACAAACGGAGCACACACTCTCAACTTTTTTCCACCGAATTAGTCTTCTCAAAGTTGTAGCAGCTGCCCACTTTTTCTTGAGAAAAACAATATTGTGAATCTAGGGTTTATTATCAAACCTTAGTTGTTTCCAAATTGAATTGGGTCTCCACAAATATAACATATAAAAAATATATTATACCTAAACCAAGTCAAATTACAATTCTTTAACAAACCAATTGGGTCCCACACTCCAATAAGGAGGTATACCCAACAAATTTCTGCATTTATTCTTTTTTTTTTTTTGGGGTAATATTCTGGACATTCCGGTAAGTTTTCAACGATGTTCTTGACATCTAGCGAACATTCTGGACATTTCAGCGACTTTCGGTAACATTCAAAGCATTCCAACAATACTCCAGTGGACTTCCGGTGATACTGCGATGACTTCCTGGTGATATTGAACATTCTAGCAAGTTTCTGGTAACTATTTGACGAAAGTCCGTCGGTGGTAAGATATAGGAATGTTTTCAAATTTATATAATAAAAAAAGATTTTTTGTTAACAATTAAAAATATGTAGGATTAATTGGTGCAAGAGTTTTGTTTTAGAATTAAATGAGTTTTAAAATATGTGTAAATAAATTAGTGATAAGTAACCCCAAATAATAATAATAGATATTTATAATTTTTAAAAATATTAAATAATCTATATGTAACTGCCCCAACGCAATGCAGCTAACGTGTGTGGGGTGGATGGCAGAGCGGTTTTTTTTCTTCAGATTTTAACATTTCACATGCATCATGTATGGAGATATCGCTTTCCGCTAACCCAGAATCAGTAACTTTAAGTATGCATATTTTATTCACTTTGGTTTGACAATGCACTTCAATCTAGGCTGTCAATGGCAAAAGGAAACTCTCTGTTAGTCTGTAAAATCGATTTTCATCTTCTTTGTTTGGTTTCTAGTGCTTCTTTATCAACTGTATCATCACTCTCTCAACCCATCATTAGGTTCGTTTCTTTGATTCCTAAGACTCAGTTTTCCTTCATTGCTCTTGCTTTTCATTTTTTTTTTTGGTTTTAGAATTTTTCTTTTTCTATTATTTGAAGTTTGACCCTGAATAACGGTTTTTGGGGAAAAGATCTTACAACCCAAGCTTTTATATTGACACACGGTCTCGTCATGATCTTTAAACATATTTGTTGTTAAATTAGGTTTTCTCACCTAATCAAGTCTGTAGCCTGTGTTTGGTTCATGCATTTGGGTAAGAATTTGAGAAGGAAAATGAAAAAAGTGTCTGAAATCTAGCTATATTTTATTTACATTTCACCTGCCGTTTTTCTTTTTCTTTCAAATTTCTACCCAAATCCATCAACCAAACGGTAAGAGTATCTCCAACCCTTCATCATTTTTTCATTTTTAGTAAAAAGCTTGGTCTTTTCAAATTTGATGAAAAGATTCCAAATTTTAGTAAAATGCTTAATTCCCTTCCTATCTCAAATTTATAATTTCATCAAATTTGATTTAAAAAAAAAAAATCATCTCAATGCTTCATCTTTTTAAATTTTCATCAAATTCTAATTTGACGAAAAATTTGATGAATTCTCAATTTGATGAAAAAAATGGTTTTCCCTTGATTTGACAACATTTGATGAATGGATTGGAGACACAAATTTTACCACTTTTTTTATTAAATTTAAATTTGATGAAAAAAAGGTTAAGGATTGGAGATGCTCCTAAAATTCAAACAACGCTTCTATGGGAATTACATATATTTTCCAACCTTACTATTGGATCATGCCTCAAAATTTAGGCGCATTGAGATTTCTACATGATCCAATGGTTAGGAATGTATTGAGAGATGGGACAGAGGAATTTGGGTTTTTTTTGCTGAGTAGACAGAGGACCCTGGTCCATTATAGTTGATTGCTGACCTGATCTATAAAATAGTAAATAATTGCTCTTCCTTTAATTTTCCAAACTAAGAAGTAAAGTAAAACATATGTATTAATAGTAAGCTGTTGTTCTTCTTGGTCTTCAAGTTACTTGTGTCTTCTTTCTCCTAAAATAAAGAGGGTGTACAGTTCTAGTTTTAGTTCTGGCATGAGCACACTACATATAATATATATATATGTGTGTGTGTGTGTTGGGTAGGGTTTGGGTTAAAAAATTCACTCCCTCACCCTCGACCCGAACCCAATCGGTTGTTCAAAGGTTTTCCCAAATCCAACCCTAACTTATTGAACCAACCCCGAGCCCATCCCATTAGGGTCAGGGAGAGTCGGGGACCCGACAGATTGGGGTATTTTGCCATCCCTAGTGTGTATTTTTTAATAAAAAACTGAATTGTTTCAATTCATGTTCTAGGAGTATGTAGCTTTGTGATTTTTTTGAGGCAAATAATTGAGACAAGTTTAATTATGTATTTAGAAACTTATTTTTATCTCTGAAAATAGAAGCTCTAAAAATAGTGTGCCGTGCTACTTGTTAGGGAATTCCTTTCAGCCAAAAAAAAAAAAAAAAAAAAAAGCCAAAAAAAAAAAAAAAAAAATCTACAAAATTGCTAGTTTTCCAAGATATTTCACATGATTTACACTCACTTGTAGTAAAATGCAGCTAGTAGTAACATTAAAATATGTTATCGATACACAGGAATAAATAAAATCAGTCTCTTTTTTGAGGTTTTATGGGTTTATGTGTGTAATGATTCCAAACTTAGTCATCGATTCTTGTTTGTGTTTCAGATCACCCATCTATCTGAAATTTACAAACAACACCAGAGCAGCAATTCTTAAACAACGTAAATGCTGGTTCATTGTTACTAATATATATTTAGCACAATCACTCTTTTGTCAGTGATTCAAGACTAATTTTCTATTTTTTTGAGCTGAATATGGAGACAATTTGCATATATTAGCATAATTTCCTCTCTCTCTCTCTTGCTTTTGTAAATCAAATTTCAAATTGCTCTCTAACAACTGTCAGAATTGATATTGAAGTTAAAAACAATCCTCTTCAGTATTTGCAGGAACTGACCAAACCATACAATTCTTACATTCAATCTTTGAAATTGGGAAGAGTACGTGGGAAACAACTAAAAAATGGGTTGGATATATCAATTGCCTTGATGCAAACATGAAAAATCTCAAACGAAAGACGGAATACTTAAGCAGTCAAGAGAATGACATAAATAAAGAAGTGAGCATTGCAGAGCAGCGATCAAGGAAAAGGCGAAAGAAAGAAGTTGAAGTTTGGAAAAAAGATGTGCAAAGGATAAAAGGTGATGTCCAAACATTGCAAATACAAGAGCAAGAAATAGTTGGATGGAAGAATGTCTTCTTGTGCGTACGGTTGGGAAAGCTTGCTGTGGATAAGATTAAGGAAGTGGTAGAGGTGCAAGAAAAGGGCAGATTCTAATGATTGTTGATTGATGCATTTCCAAATAGTGCACAGTTCATACCAACTACTGGATCTCTTGGTGAAATCACAAGTGCAAGGAACATGGAGAAAGTTTGGGAATACCTAATGGATGATGAGGTCAAGAGGATTGGCATTTACGGAATGGGGGGAGTTGGCAAAACAACCATCATGCATCACATCAACAATCGACTCTTGAATGAAACTTGTAACTTCGGTGATGTTATTTGGGTCACAGTATCTAAAGCATTCACTGTTACAACAACAATGCTAGGTATCATGAAAAACCTTTCATGAAAATAATCATGAAAACTTTGTGACCCTTGGATTACACTTAGAATAAAGCGCCACACACTAATCAAGGTAATCCAAGGATCATAAATCTTTCATGAAAAAATTTTCATGATCCCTAACTTTTCTCCTGTTACAAATCTACAGAGGCAGATAACTGAAGAGCTGGATCTTGATCTTTCAAATTATGGGGATGAAACAAGAAGAACATCAGAAATATATACAATGCTTTCCCAAAAGAGGAGGCATGTGCTCATCGTAGACGATCTATGGGAAACATTGCCTCTGGAGAAGGTGGTTATTCCAGAACCAACTAGATTTAATGGATGTAAATTGGTGTTAACTACGAGATCGTTAGAAGTGTGTAGAAAGATGGAGTGCAAAACCGTCGAAGTGGAGCTTATCACGGAAGAGGAAACATTAAATCTATTTATGAGCAAGGTTGAAGAAAATCAAACAGTGCTTACTTCGAAAGTGAAAGAATTTGCAACAGAAGTTGCCAAAGAATGTATGCGTCTGCCCCTTGCTATTGTTACTATAGCTGGAAGTATGATAGGAGTAAATGACATTCACGAGGGAAGAAATGCATTAAATGAATTGATCAGCTCGACAAAACAGATCAGGGACAATGAAAGTGAGGTGTTTGAGTGACTAAAATTTAGCTATAGTCGCCTAAATGATGAAAAGCTCCAACATTGTTTCTTGTATTGTGCATTGTTTCCAGAAGTCCATAAAATCCCTATGAAAGAACTTATAGAGTATTAGATTGCCGAGGGACTAATAATTGAGAAGAACAGTATACAAGCAATGTTCGATGAAGGTCACATTATATTGAACAAACTCGTAAATAGTTGCTTGTTGGAGAATCTTACCAACATATATAAGGCAGAATGTGTGAGGATGCATGATTTGATAAGAGATATGGCTCTCAACATAAGATCAACTAGTCCTTGATTCATGGTATGAGCTGGTGATTAGAAAGAGTACCCTATGAAGACTAGTCTGAGGATCTTGAGAGGGTTTCTTTAATGTTGAATGCTTTAGATATTGTGACCCAAATAACATCATCAAAGTTACAAGCTTCATTCAAGAGTTCATTGTTAATGTGATGCATGATGGTTGTTTTGCCAATTCCCCCCATTTAAAAAATGCCAATCCTTCTAACCTCATCATCCATCACATATTTCCAAACGTTCTCCATATTCCTTGCACTTGTGTTTTCACAAAAAGATCCCACTGTTCGTATGAACCGTCCACTAGTTGGAAGTGCATCAATCACCAAACCATTAGAAAATCTATCCTTTTCCTGCAGTTCTACCACCTCTTGAATCTTCTCCACAACAAGCTTTCCCAATTTTACACGTGAGAAGACATTCTTCCATCCTACTACTTCTTGCTCATGTCTTTGCAAAGTTTTCACATCACCGAGCCAGTCTGGAACTATTTTCTTTTTTCTTTTCCCTGACCGCTGCTCTGCACTGCTGAGTTCAGTCTTTATATCATCCTCTTGACTGCTTAATTCCTCTATCTTTCTTTTGAAAATTTTGAAGTTTGCATCAAGGCTGTTGATATATCCAAACCATTTTCCAGTTGCTTCACCCAAATTCTACACAATTTCAAATATTGAAACTAAGAATTCCATGGTGTGGTGTGGTTGGTTCCTACAAATATCAAAGTTGCAGAGGAATGTAGTTAAAAGGGGAAAAAATCTTGAAGAAAACTTCAATATCAATTGTGACACTGCCATTCAAAAGCAATTTCAAATTTGATTAAAGGAACAAAAGCAAGGGAAAGCAAACACTGACAAAAGAATGACTGCTAAATAGATATTAGTAACAATGGACCAGCATTTATGTTATTCAAGAATTCAGTTTTTTAACAAAAAGTAAAAAACACATTACAGAGAGAGGGAGAGAGAGAGCAAGCTCGTGTCTCAATTGAAACTTGAACTCCTGCTCCTCTCCATTGTAGAAGAAAGAAGGCATAAATGACTTCCAGACTAAAGAAGAATAAAAGCATACTGCTGACTTCTCTAGCTTGGTAATATATACAATACGATGTTTTACTTCTTAGTTTGGAAAATTGTAGGAAGATAAAAAATTAATATTTAAAAAATTTGCACCTTACTTAAATGTATCTAAAAAGTAAAAAATTTGTGAAAAAATATTTTAAAAAATTAACAAATACATAAAAATACGAAAAATATTCTAAAATTTTGTATTTTTTTTGTATTTTTGGTATTTATTGAATTTTTAAAAGATTTTTTCACAAAAATTATACTTTTTATGTGCAATGTTAAGTGTGTCTAAAAATTAAAAAAAAAATTGCTTAAAATATTAAAAAAATCCAGTAAAAACAAGAAAATATGAAAAATAAGAAAGTAAAATTTTCTGAAAACTGTTTTCAAAAAAACGAAACCAAACAAGCTGTTATTCTTAAAAAATTAATTGATTACAAAAATCTAATGTATCCACACACACAAAAAAAAAAAAAAAAATTGGGTCATATTTGGATCCAACTTGGAAACAAGCAAACATCTTAAGAATCTAGAAAAGTTTATTAGAAATTTAATTATAAAAATGATGTGTAGCTTAAATCTAATTTTTGTATAGTAAAAACTACACATGAAATGAATCTCGACTATCTAATAATTTTTCTAAGTACATACCATTGTTGGAAAGCAAATCCCTGAAAAAACACTAGGTCATTTGGACCCATTATATTTCCATTCAGTAAAAAATTAATGTTAATATTTGGGTGTTGTGACTATTTGTTTCTAATCCCCAGAAGAACTTGAGCTTGCAAGCTGCAACAACTACTTTTTTTTGGTGCAAATAATTAAAGATAATGGCTCCACTGTTGCCACTCTTGCGTCAAATTAGAAAGTAACAAATCCAATATTGAAAATAACTAGGCTAATTACATAGTTTGTCCCTCTAATTTCAGTGAAATTTTATTTTAACACTTGGAATAAATAAATTATACTGTTAATCCTTAGAATTTTAAACAAAAAAATATTACGGGCAAAACTAGCCAAGCTAGGCACCTGACAATGCCACACATAAGACTTCATCCTGTGAGTATACAGGGCTGTTGAGATGAGAAATTCAATCTCATTCCACAATAATCATGGTAATCAAGAGATAAAACCTCAATCAGCAATACTTTAATCAACAATACCAAAAGTCTCAAAAACAATCCACAAATTCAGTTTAGTTGGAGTTCATGTATTGTCACCATCAAGTAAACTAGAGTTCTATAATTGAGTAAAAGCTAATGTCTCAACAAAATAATTCAAAATAACTCTACTCTTAGTACTTTATCCCAAAAATGACTTGCACAATACCATTCCTCTGGACCTGTAATAAAAAAGAAGATAATCAATTTGATAGCTCAATGAGTATATACAAAAACGAACGCCCAATTAGTACATATTAATGTGTGTTTGGGAGGGGAAAATAAAAATTTTAGTAAGAATATTTTTAGGTCAATTGATAGGGGATTATTTAAAAATTTGAAAAGAATTTCACATTCAGATTATCATAGTCCAACAATCATAGAAGCTCAACAATCAACTTAACAAATATAAAAAAGAGATAAACAACACAACAAATAACCCAATAAAGAAACCCCATAATTGAGGAGATTGTTAATCTTTGCCTTTAGCAGGGATTGACATCCTGGCCTCTAAATAAGATTATATAATGGTGATAAATTGAGTTAGCTTAGTTGGTTCAATAAGTAAAGTTGAACGACAAAGATTTTTCATAAATCTTCTGTGATTCAAGAGTGTAAAGAAAAAGTCCTACACTTCAGTTAACATTAAAAGATAAAAAATAATTCCAATAAGGTGAGTTCAATAATCATACAGTTTATGAACTCATAGGATTCACCATTCGATATCTCAAAAAAATCGATAATTAAATACAATCCAAAACTCAATGGTTTGATAAACACAAGCTCAAGTTTTTGCAACTGCAACCACAACAGTAACCAGTGACAAAAGCCAAAACCACTATGGTCAAAGACCAAAAGCATTAAAGAAAATAGTTTTTGTGTCAATAATTAATCCCAATTTTCTTAAATTATACACATATGGTCACACACAACCAATGGCAAAAGAAGCAACCATCACAACAGTAGCCAATACAGTAGCTTCTACTTTAGAAGCAGCAGAATTAGTAGCCTACCAGGATGTAAAGGAAGCCCTAGACAAATGGACTATCCCGAAAGTCAAACCATATACTATTTACAACAAGATAGGAACCTTTGACTTTACCAGTAGAAAAATAATCAAAACCTTTGAACATGCTGTTCCCATACAGAATGATGATGAGATCATGTATCTCCTTCACATCCAAGATTTATATCCATTTTTATAGAAATACAAGTATGTCCATATAGGACCGGTTCATATAGCATTCAAACCCTTGACTTTGCTTGGGCAAAGCACCAGTATTCAGTGTACTCTCCGAGATGGGCGATGCCTAGATTGGAAAGCATCACTCATGGGAGCTATAGAAACCAGTCTTTCCCACGGACCAATATATTTTAACATATACCCTAATCTAAGTATAGCACTTATTGACCCTAATCTATCAAAAGTCCTAGAGCTTAGAGTTCTGTCACATGGTTATCAATATCTACCCAGATCACCACCTTTTAGAGTTATCTCTAGGATTGATCTGAAAGTGTTAACCACCTTGAATCCTTATACCAGAAAACAAAGCAAATTAGGACATACAGTCCTAATTGATACAAACCTTTTCAGTAGTCAAGTTGGGGTGCCTAGGATGATACCTTGGCAAAACATTACTTTGCTTGAAAAATGGCAAATTCCTAATGCTGTACCAGTTCGACCAATTATTAGGCAAACTATTGACGATGTTGTACAGACTCAAGGAGGTAATGTATACCTCACTTTTAACCGACGTTCTAGACCATTATCTAGAAGCATGTCTAATACTAGTTTTAGAACTGCTCCTTCATACAGAGTAGATCTTCCTAAGTCATCTAGACAGTCAACATCCGAACCTATTGAATTTGTATTACAAGGGATGCCATCACGGCCACCAAGTGATACATAGCCAGAATACCTCATAGATCCTGTCATTCGAGGCGTTCACATATCCGAAAACCAAATACCTCATGGAGTGTATGCAACCAAAAGGCCAGAAAGCCCAACCGCTAGTGATATGAACTTTGAAATTTAAATGGACTTTACACCAGGAAGTGAAATTAGAAAACAATTAAACCAGGATTTTATGCAAAATAAATATCAAGAATTTAGAACATGGTATTTCAATAACCATAATCCAGAACAACTTCAACATTTTAAAAAGCAATATTAATATCATTTAGAGAAATATCAAATACTTAGATATTTTCCTTAATGGTACAATGAATACAGCACCATTATGGATGCAGTTCCTAACCAGCAGCTTACTATCTTGGAAAATATCCAAAGGACATGGTTAACAGTAGGTGGTCAAACCATTGTCTCTGTCCATCCACCACCACAGCCTTTAGAGTTAGTCTCTAGTGAAGTTTCACAACAGCCATTGGCCATCATTGCTTATGTGGAAACTCCTACCAGAATGATGCAAAAAGATACACTACACGTGAAAGATATTATACCACTCATTAAACAG